TCCTTAAAGGCTAACAGTGCCTGTATCTTTTCCTCCCGTTTGATGCCATCCATTATACTTGTTACAGTTGTATGGACTAAATTTTTAATCATAGGAATTAAACAGGGCAAACACATTAGTCCTAATAGTATTATGCCCACCATGAATAATGCTTGTTTCCAATTGCGAAAGATTCCTCCCAAAAATCCCCCTTCATCTAAAAGACCATTCCAAGTCTGGACTGGAACATGTACAAGTTGTCTCATTTCAGTGGTTAATTGCTTCACTTCTGCACCTGTTTCATCTATTTGTAAGCAACAATTTGTTAAATTAAACTTCCCACATACCCCTCCTTCCTTAGCTAATATATCTTTTCTTTCTTTATAGTGATATAAGTTAATGGATCGGATCCTGTTCCGTCTATCCCAAATCCATAACTTACTATATCAGAATGGTTCTTAGTGATTTCCAACTCCATTATATTAGTTCCATATATTCTTTTAAATTTGGTAATACCATTACATCCTGGATAACCTCCTCCAGTGTAATCACACACACAACTCCACCCTGAACATTTAATAGATCCCCCACAAGGTAACCATTGATTGGGGTTTCCATTTGCAAAGTTCAAATTGGTGGGACATATATTTATGATTTTGTTTATATGCTGTGATCCAACTAGAGTCCCCACACTTTGTGGCTAGGTGAGATAGACTTAATACTGTGCATGATCAAATTGTATCAAAGCTTTTTTCTGTCCCTTTTTCTAATATTTTTGTAGAATTGACGTATATTAATCTTTCACCTTCAGGGCTCTGTCTTGCTCCCACTTTAGCTAAACCCACATATATACTGAAATTCAAATATGTTGGTATCGATGGATCATAGCACTGTATCTTTTTGTCTCTTCCCTTACAAACTGAATATTGTGTTTTATTTAATTGACATGTAGATTGAAATATACACCCCTTTGGTGGCATTGGTAATGCAGGCTTCACATCCTTCTGTTTCTGATGCTCTTCTATATCGCTCCCTAGAGAGGGAGAGGTATACAGCCAGGGACAAATATACAGCACTAGGGATTCACATTTTATATTAATCTTCTTCTTCTAAGCTGTGATATGTTATGAAGGCTTCCTTTTCTTTATCTAAACTGTGATATTTTATGAAGGCTTCTTGTTGTTCTTAACATCCAGTACTAGTTGAATTAAAGGAGTATCTTTTAGAGTATATCTTACCACTCTGGTCAATATCTCAGTATATTCTTCAAAAAGTTTCAATTTCTTTTCGATGAGTACTATATCACATGATCCAAAATGTTCTTCACATCCAGTACATCTTACACAGTCAATACAATGGAAACAACTACAACAATCAACATGGCATTTACAGTCACAGTACCAACACATTTAAACAGGAATTTTACAAAGTATCAATTTAAACGAGTCATCACCCGGAACACAGGTCCACTGTCCTTTTGGTTCAG